ACCCCAAACGACCCGAAACTTATATTTTTAGAAACAGTTCACCAAGGCCTTCTTTCTGGCAAAGTTTGGGAAAATCGGATTTTTCTATCTTGCATACCCTTAGTCGGTCCTTACAGAAAACCGCTCTTAAACTGCCAATAAAGATCTATGTTTAATGGTGAAGGGATGTAGTTGTTGGAAAATCGTGAAGAGGGACCGGATAATGGATAAAAACTCGAGAACAGCTGGTAAGGTTTTTTTTCTTATATTTGTTTATTATAACCTGCTACCATCTTTACAATTACAGATTAAATGAGAAAAGAAAATAAGCACCACTGCCTTGTGGCAATCTTATGATTATATCCTCTGTGTTGTCCTCTTCAAACTTTAGTTACCTGAAACAATGAGGAACGCAAAAATAGTGCAACTCGGCGCGGGATGCGTAAATTAACGGTTGAATTAAAAGTGTTTTTTTTTTTGTGGCCCCCCAGAGTGCTTGCTCGTAGGCTATTCTTTTTAGGTTAGGTTCTCTTCTTGCATCTTATAAGCGATTTATCGTAGATTAAGTTTGCATAAATGGTGACGTACAACCGGAAAAAGTGGATGCAAGTGGTTGCCTAAGGGGAAAAAACTTTTAAGGGATACGCGCACCTTTTTTCAGAAACTAGTAGCATACTGCTGTTTAACTCTTTGATACTTTGGAACAAATAATACCATAATAGTAACATAATTAGTGTCTCTATGGTCAAAATAAACGACCCTAATGTGACTTATGTAATTTTTGTTTTTGTTAGACATTGCTTAATAGAGAGAGATTTAGAGTCAGGTTTACGGCAAACGGAAAACGGCAGACCCGAGTTGAGAATTTCTCAAAATAGAAAATGAGGAGATGAAAACACTCTAAAACAATAGTAATGGATGAAAGTAACGTGAAAGTACTTATTTTTATGTAGAAGTAAAAAACAGTTAAAGACAAGTAAAGGGAAAAAGTTGGTCACGTGGCACAAATTCACGTTTGCCGTTGGCCGCCCAAACGTGAGTCTAAATCTCTCTTAATGTCTCATGATAATTTGTCGACTTTGAGTGACGGCTAAAACTAACTAAAAAAAGTTCCTAAGGTACAAGAGATGGGATTTATGTCACTAAGAAGTATTCTCTACTACTTCTACTACTACAGGTAAAAAGCCTGAAAGTATGTTTAAAAAACATTCGCCAAATTTTCAAGTAATTGTTTACCTTCCTCTCCGCTGCCAGGTGTACCAGCCAAAACATCAACCTCCATTTGCTTAGTAACCGTGCCAAATGGATTGGTAGCTTTACACTCGTAAGTCCCTGCGTCACTAGCAACAGCTCCAGAAATGATTAGTTCAACACCCGACAGCTTAGCATCCAGGTCATAAACGTTTTTAATTGTAACACGGTTCTCGGGGAGTAGGCCTACAATTTTAGAATGGCAAATTAGTGACAGAAAGGTTAGAAGGCGTTTAGTTTAAGACTCTTAAATGCAAATGCTTACCGCTTATTTTGCTCCAGGTAGCGGTCGGTGTAGGGCTTCCTTCAACGTTGCACAAGATGGAGATGGTTTCATCCTCAGTTACTGTGAAGTCAGAATCGGGCACCGTTTCGCTGATACTAAGGGGGCCTGCAAAGTATCAAGAGAAGATAGATTTACTGCGAGACGACCTCTCCCACAGACGTTTGGAAGACAGATACTACGCTGAACCAAGAATGAGGCAACTAAGTGATACATATAAAATAGAGCAAAAAGGAAGATATTTAAAGTTAAACGTGGGTGGAATAAAAGCAAATGATAAGTGAACGTGTCTTGAGACCATGCAGGGCGATCTGTAACAGATAAAGTTCTAGCTTTTTTCGGTGACCCAAGCCAAGCATTGCTACAGTATAAGTAAGAGCTGCCTCAGACCTCTTAGTGTCTGGTCAATAAGCTGTGCTTGTTTCCTTAAGTTTTTTTTTTTTTTAAATTACTGACACCTTAAAAATAATTCGTATTTGGTAGACCCGAGCTTCTTGATAATCATGAACTTACGATATTTGCTCACGGACCCATAGCTTTCTGTAAGACTGATCTTTGTTTAATGGATTGTGATGTCTAGATCTGATCCCGACCCAAGATCCCTCAATGTTCACCTTTTTATCCACAGTTTGTTATTCCTGACCCCATATACTCACCCGCACAGTCGTCAATGGAAGTACTGCCTTCGTATTTGGTGTCGGTTCCAGCAGGACATGCTTTACAGCTGGTCATTTGTTCAGTATCTTGGTAGGTATCAAGAGGGCATTTCCTACAAGGACTAACACCATTGTTTGTCGAGTAGGTTCCTGCTAGGCATATAGCTATAACACAATAAAAAAAAATCCATCTTTATTAATAGCTGACAAAACAGATTATATTCATGAATAGGATATACACTGGAAATTCCAGACAATTTTCTTACGTTGACAGTCAGAGCTGGTTTTGGATCCGGTAATGGCAGTGGAGTGGTTCTTTGGGCATGGTTGGCATTCTGATTTCCCTTCCTCGTCTTGATAGAACCCAATGTTGCAGTCCTTGCACGTGTTAGTCAAGCTGTCGCTGTACGTTCCAGGAGGACAATTTACTAAAAAAAGAAAGAAACAACAACTCATCATTAAAGTACATGGCTTATAATCAAGGTTGCTTTGGGCATTTGGCATTGGCAATTGGGTATTTGTGCATTTGGCCATACCGAACAATGCAATGATTTGCCTGAGTGACCACCAAACAATAGCTTACTGGTACCCAATTCTTAATGCCATAGCAACCTTTACTGAATCAGCTATACATAATCTCACGCCAGAGGGTATTTGCGCGGATCTTTATGGGAATATAATTAAGCTTTACTTACGACAAACTTGATTATCCACAGCAATTGAACCGGCTGGGCAAAGAGCGCCATTGTAGAGAATGTACTCTGAAAAGGAAGCATTCAAATACAATGGTTTTCTGTAGGACATAAGCTTAAATTTATTTTTAATCAAATTACACTGTTTTGGTCAAGGTTTAGACTTGTTGAAAAATTTCCCTAATACGAATCCTCCGCAAAAAAGGGGATTAAAACGTCGCCTTTATACTACTAACGCCGTTACTATGGCTAAGTCATAAAATTGACAAAAAATAAGATTTAAGTGACACCAGAAACTCATTAGGGGTTGAAACGTGTAACTCTTGTATGTTTGCTTTGTCCGATGCTCGTGATTATTCGGTTTCGAAAGTACCATATTTGGAACGAGAAGAAAAGATAACTAACCAATCAAACTTCGTAAACAACGTGACGTAATTTTACTTCACGTTCCCGCGCCCGCTTAAAATAATGGCTGTCAAACGGGAGAAAAACTCCCAAAAGCCGAGAAAGCTTTGAAAGGTTAAAACCAGGAATCTTACCGAAATACTGAGCAGGATATTATTGACTTAACACCCAGGCCAAACGTAACATTATGAAACCCATAGACGTCCTCGCGACTTCTTGAAGTTGTCACTTCAAAAAACGATGCCTCGTTGACCCTCTGAACAGTAAACTTATACTGCAAATAGGCTTTTAAAAAGTCTAGAATAAACAGTAAAAATATTTTCGAATAGAATTCATTAGCTGCAGATCGAAAAGTGTCCAAAACCTGAACCTGACATCTTCGCAAAAAGTTATTCGTGTAATGAATGTGAGAAGCATCAAGCTTAATTTCAGCTTGGATTCTGTAGTCACGATCGTGTTTTGAGCTAATTTTATGAATGAACAAACTCAAAACAATAGACAGAGAAGCCGTTTGTTGAAAATTTTTATTCAAAATCCGAGCGAGTTACACGTTTCAACCCCTGATGAGTTTCTGGTGACACGGAATGCTTGTAGTGACTTTGTATTTGGCGAAAGAGCTGCCTTTACGTGTCCAAATGACAGCCACTTTAAATTTGTCTATATTTTGGAAGCCAATAAGTCTTACATCAGTAAGATCATTTAAGTAATCTTTCCAGTTAGGCCTTATTCCTACACCCAGGCCTACCCTCCACCAGTGCGTAAGGAGCCCATCAATTATAAAGAACATCCAAACAATAACTTACTCATACAATCCAATTTTCCCGACAAAACTGCGTTTGGAGAAAACATAGCAGTCCATTTATTATCTTGACATCTATAAGATGGATTCACAAACAAGCCCGTATATCCTGGTGGTTGTGGGTTAAAGAAGTAACCAGAATTACACCTCAACTGCAGGAAAAAGCCAAACTGTGACGCTATACCATTCTTTGGATTTGGTATTGTGGGGCATTTTGTTCCTGCAATAGAATACAAACAAAGAATAAAAAAAAGAGGCATAGTAAAATGTGCGGCGCTATTTCGGCAGGGTAAAGCAACAGTGGGTACGATAAACGGTGCATATGCGCCCTCCCCCTTCCTTTTCTAGAACACACAGAAAATTGCAAGGCCAACCTTGTGATGACCTAGAAGACAATCCCAAAGGCTAATCATATTTTGAAATAAACCCTTCATCGGCATGTTATACAAGTATTTTTAAGTGTTGAGCAGGTCGGTATTTGATAGCTCTGACAGTAAGCCAGGGTTACCGGTGTACCTTCTAGCGTGATGTTGAATGTGCAGTACCCAACGTTTCCAGCAGCATCTGAAACCGTGTATTTTACTGTTAATGACGTGTAAGTATCCATGGTGAATCCAGGCTGGCGATTAGACAGTACGCTCACCACGCCCACGTTGTCGATAAATGTTGGTGGTGTCCATGTAATGTTCTTTTGTAGTGAGTTGGTGCGTTCGGTGATGCTTGAAGGGCAGTTCTTGACCAAGGGAGGGGTCACATCTAGTCGAAGAGACAGATACCTTAATCACAGATAATAATGCAAACGAGATGTAGCCCCCCCCCCCTTCCCGAAAGACTCGAGTACTTCTAAAGGTGTATCAAATAAAGTATGGTATAGATGGTAGAAGTTATCATAAAGATTTTCCGAATAAGGCCTAAATTCCTAAAGCACGCTTATTTTATTTCAGTCTATACCAAAAGAAACAGGCAACAAATACTTTCAATCATCTTCCTCACCATTTACAATGACATAGAAGCTGCAACTCTTTTGTGTTCCTTTGTCACTGATTCCCGTCCACGTGATACGGTGTCTTCCAACTGAGAAGGGGTAATTCTCATTGAAGTTGCTAGGAGACACCGATACGTTTCTCAGGTTAGTTCGTGGAAGCTGCCACTTGAACCCAAGGACCACTGTTGAAGTTTCTGGCTGAAGTTCCTCTACTCTGTCCATTGGGCACACGATCCAGGGCTCCGTGTACACTGGAAAGTTGAAAGAAATAGACAAGTCTTAGAAATAGGTATCAAGAAAAGAAAAAACAACAATATAAGCAACAGCTATGATAATGATACTGTCACAGATCACAGGTATTTGCAATGATGACGTATTTTTTTCGGAATCGCAGGCAAATAAAGAATTTGTTCTTACCTCTCACGCAAGACAGTGGCGCTATCTCGCTCCAGTTTGTGTCATTCTGACATGCGGTGTACCTAGGTCCACTCAATGCATATCCATTATCACAATAGAAGACGCATCGTGTGCCGTACTCAACGTCCTTTTTGGAGCAAGATGCTGGAACCACTCCTCCGTGGTTAGGAACGGATAACTTGGGACAAACAACCGCTAATAACAGAATAGTGACAGGAAATATTTATACCTAGCTTTAGCCTGCTACAAGATATGTATTATAGATCCACACAACTATTCCTTATCATTAACTTTCTACGGCATATAGTAACATAAGATTACAAACTGATGCATTTTGGAAATTGGTTTCTGAGACGAGGACCACTACGAGTACGAGATATTCTTAATACTGAGCATTGCTTAGACTTGAACCAGCGTCATTTTGGCGGGAAAACGTGATAGCTGACGTCATTTCACTACCGGAGTTTTTGCGAGCATGTCGCAGTGGTGAAAACAAATTATCAAATGTTAGAAGTTTTCTCACTTTGTGATCAGGAGAGGGCTTAACCTTCTTCAATAACGATAACAGTGCTAACGTTTTTGATGGAAAAAAAGTACAATAAAACTTCATGGGGTGTCTGGTTAAGAGAATACGTTTTTGAAAAGTCGTTCTCGCCTGTAAATCTTAAGGTCTCTGATAAAAGTGCGCATCTGACAGTAAAATAAGTCCGTGCAGAAGGTCAAAGAGCCTTGTATCCCTCTAGGCGTCGATTTTGAATTTAACTCATATCACTTGTCTTTCACTGATATGAATCATGGCCCCATGTGTTTACAAGTTATAACAAAGACACGTACGTTTACAATAAGGTACGTTGCCGTTCCAAAGTCCGTTGATTTGACAGACAAGTGAGTTATCCCCGCCTGCAATGTAATGTCCAGACTCGCAACCATATGAACAAACAGTGTTACGTCGGATGTTTGCTCTGTCATCAGTGCAGCTCGCAGGAGCGACGAGGCCACGGAAAGGAACTTCCAGAGCGGGACAGTAAATCTCTAAAATTCAATGATTATTCAAATTAAAAATAAACGTGTAAAACCTGTCAACCAAATTAAATATACCAGACTTTTGCATTTTTTTCTTTACACAACTCCGGCCCTTAATGAACGTTTTACGTCTTCTACACGTGAGGGCGTTTCATCAATGAACTTCCCTTAGTCTATTTTGTAAACCGTGCTTTTCTTGCAAGGACAAATCTTTGAAGACTGGGGTGTAAAAGAAAAGAGAAGAGGAGACAAGAGAGGCTTTGTACGGCTTCGTGGTGAGAGACTGTCTTGTCCCACGAAAGGTTGAAAATGTCCTCCTTTTTTTAGGATGTAATCTTATTAAATTGCGGTGAAAACATTACCTAGATGACGTCTGAAAAAGATGGGAAGGAGTCTCTTTTCATTAACCTAGGTGACCTTATGGGGCCATGAATTAAACTTACGCCAAATGGATTCACTGATTTTAAGCGGCACAGGATTTGAAAGCGTTTTAGATTTATGATCATTGTCAAAGAAAACATTCAACGATTTTTCCGCAGTCAGTAGCTAATGGCGTCTTTTATGTTACACCCCCACTGTACTACTAACAACTCAAATCCAAGCTTAAGCAACAAAGGTCCTTTTTGTCGGGTACTGTACCTTCACATCCTTTGCCATCTTCCATGAGTCGATAACCGGCATTACAGGAGCAGTAATATCCGCCTTCGTGGTTGGTACACGTGTGTTCACAGCCGCCTTTATCTGCTTTGGCACATTCGTTGATATCTTAGTGAAGAATCAAAACCTGGTAATTAGCTTAGAAATCGTCACTGATAGGATCGCCACGGTTAAAAAAGTCAAAGCGCGCGAGAAAAGTTACTTTGAGGAGTTTACTTATCTGACAGACAGCATATCACTACTGAACACTGCTCGAGAGCTAATTAAAATGTGTCAAAGGACGGTAAGGCCACTTAGAAGTTGTCGCTTTCAATTGCGTGAATGCTTTTGAAGTAAGGTAGCAAACTGAAATACTATATTTCCAAATGTTCGCCTTGAGAAACAGGATACGGTGCAAAGAGGCGACAACAAGAGACTCTCGGGACACGAAGTAGTCATCACTGGACTATAACGCCTGACCAAGGATTGTGCAGTATTTCGATCTTACCTTCACAGCCTCTCTTGTCCGCCTTAAGCTGAAAGCCGGATCTACAATCACAGTTGAAACTTCCTCCAGTGTTATTACACACGTGTTCACATCCGGCGTTATTCAGGTTACATTCGTTAAAATCTTTCAAAGGAAATGGGTATAAAAATCATTAGTTTCGAATGTTGTTTGACTAGTAAGAGAGAGATTCATTCATAATTTTAGTGGTTGTGTAATATACCAGTGTAAAATTTCCTGCACAATACCGGAGTAGGGTTGTCTAAAAACAATGTTAACGAATCAGTCATAAAAGAACCATTGGCAGATAGTTACTGTACACATTTACTGAAACTAAACAAAAATTTACGACTAATAACTTGAATCTCACCAGTCTCTTGTCTGCTAGTTATTGAGTTAACCATTGCGATAGCTTTGCACTTAGCGTTTATCTTTTTTTTTTTGGTTAAAAATGCCATTTAAACCCCTTTCTTTCCAACTATGTTTACTCAAAATGTTGCTCGTTAGTTATAACATGTGCCAATTTTGCCCTAGTTTCTAATGGAGTCTTTCCCCTAACGTGTTTTCTCCCTCTTTCTACCATTGCTTACCTTCACACTCGAATTCACTGTTCTCTTTAAGTTCATAACCCTGATTACATGCGCAGTGAAAACTTCCCGGAGTATTGATGCACATGCCGCGTGTGTAATCGCAGCCGCCATTGTTAACTTTGCATTCATCTTTGTCTAAATGAAAATGAGAAGTCGGTAGTTAGTACAGCAAGTAAGAAATCCCTAGTTCTCCACTGCTTTTAAACTATTGACTGGATTGTTTTACGACATACTGGGCAGAAAAAAATGTAATATTTGTTGTCCCATCGCTAAGCAAAACAAAATAGAGCGAAACAAACATTATGGGGAAGAGACAAGACAAATACTTAAAATAAAAGTGGTCGCTTTTTAAAATTTTTTTGAGATCGCTTTCTTTTGAGAAGGTTTTTATCGGCAACGAAAGTAGACAAAGATAGCGTCTAAGCAGATTGCCACTCACCAATACACGTTTTGCCATCATAGGCGAGAGTAACCAATCAAACTTCGTAAACAACGTGACGTAATTTTACTTCACGTTCCCGCGCCCGCTTAAAATAATGGCTGTCAAACGGGAGAAAAACTCCCAAAAGCCGAGAAAGCTTTGAAAGGTTAAAACCAGGAATCTTACCGAAATACTGAGCAGGATATTATTGGCTTAACACCCAGGCCAAACGTAACACTATGAAACCCATAGACGTCCTCGCGACTTCTTGAAGTTGTCACTTCACAAAACGATGCCTCGTTGATCCTCTGAACAGTAAACTTATACTGCAAATAAGCTTTTAAAAAGTCTAGAATAAACAGTAAAAATATTTTCGAATAGAATTCATTAGCTGCGGATCGAAAAGTGTCCAAAACCTGAACCTGACATCTTCGCAAAAAGTGATTCGTGTAATGAATGTGAGAAGCATCAAGCTTAATTTCAGCTTGGATTCTGTAGTCACGATCGTGTTTTGAGCTAATTTTATGAATGAACAAACTCAAAACAATAGACAGAGAAGCCGTTTCTTGAAAATTTTTATTCAAAATCCGAGCGAGTTACACGTTTCACCCCCTGATGAGTTTCTGGTGACACGGAATGCTTGTAGTGACTTTGTATTTGGCGAAAGAGCTGCCTTTACGTGTCCAAATGACAGCCACTTTAATTTTTCTATATTTTGAAAGCCAATAAGTCTTACATCAGTAAGATCATTTAAGTAATCTTTGCAGTTAGGCCTTCTTCCTACACCCAGGCCTACCCTCCACCAGTGCGTAAGAAGCCCATCAATTATAAAGAACATCCAAACAGTAACTTACTCATACAATTCAATTTTCCCGACAAAACTGCGTTTGGAGAAAACATAGCAGTCCATTTATTATCTTGACATCTATAAGATGGATTCACAAATAAGCCCGTATATCCCGGTGGTTGTGGGTTAAAGAAGTAACCAGAATTACACCTCAACTGCAGGAAAAAGCCAAACTGTGACGCTATACCATTCTTTGGATGTGGTATTGTGGGGCATTTTGTTCCTGCAATAGAATACAAACAAAGAATAAAAAAAGAGGCATAGTAAAATATGCGGCCCTATTTCGGCATGGTAAAGCAACAAATAAACGGAGCATATGCGCCCTTCCCCTTCCTTTTCTAGAACACAGAATATTGCAAGGCCAACCTTGTGATGACCTAGAAGACAATCCCAAAGGCTAATCATATTTTCAAATAAACCCTTCATCGGCATGTTATACAAGTATTTTTAAGTGTTGAGCAGGTCGGTATTTGATAGCTCTGACAGTAAGCCGGGGTTACCGGTGTACCTTCTAGCGTGATGTTGAATGTGCAGTACCCAACGTTTCCAGCAGCATCTGAAGCCGTGTATTTTACTGTTAATGACGTGTAAGTATCCATGGTGAATCCAGGCTGGCGATTAGACAGTACACTTATCACGCCCACGTTGTCGGTAAATGTTGGTGGTGTCCATGTAATGTTCTTTTGTAGTGAGTTGGTGCGCTCGGTGATGCTCGAAGGGCAGTTCTTTACCGAGGGAGGAGTCACATCTAGGCGAAGAAACAGATGCCGTAATCATAGATAA